AACATGGAGGGGGGCACCGGATGGATCTTTGCAGCCCAGCGCCGCATATGCTTAAGACAGCCCTGAACATACTGCTTTTTATCATCCGCCTGTTCTGCCGTTGAGGACTTTTTGAATCATTCTTTGTCTAGCTCTTTCCCTTTGACCTTACTGCCTTGGGTGACCCTGCTAGGAGTTTGAGATTCCTGATGCCTTCACTCACAAGCGTCTTAGGAACGTGCAAGTCCACTGACCCCAACAAGGTGTTGATCCAGCGAGTGAGTCGTGGTTTTAATGCACATATTGGCAACTATGGCAGGGCACAATTGAATTTTAGAGTGCCACCCCTCAGATAGCTTATTTCCCCCCCTCCCCTGGATCACTGCCCTCTCATGCTCTCCCTCTCACACATCACTTTTCCAAGTAATCTGGGTAAAAGTTGGATCCAGTAGTATTAATCTAGCCTTAAAATCATATAGAGCTGAAAAAGGAAGTGAGAAAGATTGTCACTCTCCCAACTTCCTCATTTAGCATGATGAACTACGAAAGGAGGGAAAGGCAACCATCTTCAATGCTTCTTGGCCAAGGGAGCATTGAAGAAGAGGGAGCTCAGAGGCTTCACAGGTGCCAGAGGACAACCTTAAGGTTGCCATTGTGTACCACATTGTTGACTCCTGTATTAAAGCTTCTACGTTTCGATTCTCTCCTTCTCTAAGGATATCATTGGTGAAATAGATTAGATTGGCCACTGAGCTTCTTTGACTATTAGATCAGGGCTTTTTTTCAGCCAGAACTTGCCAGAACTCAGTTCCAGCACCCCTAAGATAGAATCATAGAATCATAGAGTTGGAAGAGACCACAAGGGCCATCGAGTCCAACCCCCTGCCAAGCAAGAAAGATAGGCTCCACTGTCATTAAAAGGGAGGTGTTTATGGTGAGTTTCAGCACTTTTTCTAGAAAAGTTGTTGTTGTTGTTTAGTCGTTTAGTCGTGTCCAACTCTTCATGACCCCATGGACCAGAGCACGAAAGAAAAATAGTATTAGACCCAATTAAAGGAGTGTTTGGTTTATAAAGGGCTCACGAACCTTCAGAGGGAACCACAGAAAAGCAGCTCTTGAATTAATATATTTGTTCTAAGGTTTTTTTTAAGATTCTCCCTTTGGGAATATTTTCTCACCAGGTACTGTGATGATCCCTCCTGATTAACTTCCTGTTGAAACCAAAACAAGGGTTTAGTTTGAATTAGAGATGGGATTAAGGCAGAACTTGGATCTTAGCTTTCTTAGAAATGGTGAAATGCAAGTCTAAACTTGGTTCACACCTATTACCTTTATTGAACAGTTTGAAAAATGTTCTGGGAACCAAGCACTTGCGGAATACCAGGTGTATTGGATGATATCCCATGTTACTCATACTTAGAGTAGATGCGTTAAAATCAATGGGCGTAAGTGACTTAAGCACATTAATTTCAATGGGTCTACTCTAACATTGAATCTCACACACGAAATAATTTTATCTCTGGTGGCTGCAAACCAGGGGCACCAACTTGTTGCCCACATTGGGGGGGCGCATCACATGATGCGTCCCGCCCCTGCCACTGAGATGCAGCATTGGCCAGGGGGAGGAGGCGGCAGAGCATGATGTGGGCTCCGCGCTTAGCTTCCTTCTCCCTGCAGCATGAGCCAGGCAGAGGTGGGACGTGCAGAAGAAGATCTTTGCTCTCACTCGCTCCAGCCCCTTCCCAGCTCCTGGGTGGGGGCTAGGGTGCATGGAGGGCACCCAGCAGTGGCGGGGGATGTCAGCCCCCTCAATATGGGGGCTGAGCCCCCCTGATTCAAAATAGACATGAAGTCATGTCTATATGGCATGATGTGTGCAGAGGACATGTGGGGAAATGCCCTCTGCCCTTGGCCAAAACTCATTCAATAGGGCTCCTGTCCACATAGTTATTCATTTAGCAGCCAAATAACAGGATATTGGCCATATAGTTCAAGCTTTGGTGACTTCAGAACTAGATTACTGCAAGCCACTCTCTGTGAGGCTTCCATTTCTCTTGACCTAGAAGCTGAAGCGCAGTTGCCAACAGGAGTGAGACCCTGTCAGCACACAGCACCATATTCAAGATGTTGCTATTAGTATGTAAAGCACTTAACATATTGGGACCAGTTTGCTTGTGGGATCGTCTTACCCCTTATGTGCCCACTAACAGATCTGCAGAACTGGCATTGCCATTTGTGCCACATAATACTTGTTCCACAACTGTAAGAAATCAACCTTTAGAGAGCTCATGTGGTGTAATGCTTAGAGTGCCAGACTAGGACCTGGGGGACCAGGGTTCAAATCCCAACTCAGCCATGAAGCTCACTGGTTAACCCTGGGCCAGTCACAGTCTCTCAGCCTAACCTACCTCACAGGGTTGTTGTAAGCATAAAATGGGGGGGGGGGACCTTGTACACCACCTTGAGCTCCTTGGAGGAAAGGTGGGAAATAAATGCAATAAAATAAGTGAAATAAATAAATAATGGTGTGGCAGTATTTACAATTTGAAACTATCAGCCTGTTAACATAAGGCAGGCTCATTTGCTGTACTCAACTGGCACCTGCCTAATACATTTTTGTTTAGGCAAACCTATCCGCCTGCACAGACATTGACATGTTTGAATCTCCTTTCCTGTTAATTTTAATTAACTTCATATGTTTTTAATTGCTTTAGCTGCTTTAATTGATAGCACTAATATTTCTTTTAAACTGCTTAGAGGTTTCAGGACAATCATGGAGCACGGTGGTGAGATTCTGCCCAAGTGACATGTCGAGCCACCTCATTTTGCAGTAGCTGCAGCTACTGAGTCGTCTCTGAAGGCAGGATGTAAATCAAAATCAACATAAATAACAAAAAGAAGAGGTGGACACCAGCTCAGCAGGCACAGAGGGCTTGGAAGCCAGGAAAGGCTCTGGATCCTTTGGGCTCACACCCGACCCGACCATAGGAGCCAGCTCCTAGGGGCTGAGGGGTCTTTGCCCCCCCCCAATAAAATATTTGAGGGGGCCAGGATCCCCCAAAGTTAATGGGCACTGCCATTCAAATGGTGTGCATGCACTGCATCATGTGATCAATTATACGGTGCAGGGCTTACCTCTCCCCCCCCATTTTTTATTCAAGTTGGCACACATGCACCCCACTTTTTAGCTTTACTGACAACACAGTGCAAATGATGGTAGGGCTAGGGCTATGAAAGTTTCTGCAGCAGCGAGAAAGAGGGGAACCTGACATAAAATTTTCCTCTCTCTGACATTGTCTTTCCCTTTCTCTGACCTCCAGGAGCAGATCCAAACTTTTCTCTGCCCTCTGGAATGCCCTCCCAGGGATCATAGAATTGCAGCCTAAACATGGCAATTTCACTCACCAGGAAGGTATGGAAAGGAAAACAGCCCCCCCGCTTTCCATTTAAAAGTATTACTGTTCCTGGGAGAATGAATGAAGATAAAATGTGGTGTTCCTTGCAGCTCCTCATACTGAGGTCATTCAGCCACAAATAGTTGAGGCAGCAGGTAGAGGGATTCTCAAGCAAGGGAGCAAACCCTTGAAAACACACAAGACAAGTTAAAAGTGAAGATGCTGCCGTTTGATGAAGGCTCTTTCCCTCACACACTTCCCGCCTAGCAAATATTCCTGTCTGCTGTGGTTTTTGTTTCACATGACTCCTCGAAGAGGAAACTGAGGGCATTACTTAGAAGAAACAGAACAGCCATGTCCCCTCTGGGTGAATCATGTAACTTGGAAATGACCTTGTTCACAAGATTTTCCATTCACTGCAGATGATGTGAATGCAAAAGAAAGAAAGAAAGAAAGAAAGAAAGAGAATGGGGAGAGAAAACTGTGGGATTTCATCTTGAGATTTTAGTCTTTCGTATAGCTGGACTTGTGTAAAGTTTTCCATTTTTCGGGCAGCTCAGATCATGGGCTCAGACATGGGCTACCAACGGTTTGAGACCTGTCAGTACATTTGCAAGCTGTTCCCCTTCCACACACACACAACCATGCACACAACCACTTAACCCCCCCCCCTTTCCTCACCTTACCAGCAATTGAATAAAATGTTTTTGTTGTTTTTCTATAAGCATAACTTTTGGGGGGGAATGGGTTATCTTCTTAGAGACTGCAGCTGAGGAGGCGAGATTTAGTCTTCCTGCCCCAACTGCAAACTGCAAAAGGTCACCTCCGCTCCCCGCAACAGTTGGCGCTGAAAGATGGCTTTAAAAGAGGATTATATCAATCTGTAATGGATAAGGCTATCAACATTTTGACCTACCCCCTCACTTGACCTACTTCCTGTTGGCCAGTTGGCCTACTTCCTGTTTGTGAACCCCCTTTCTTTTCTTGATTTCCCCTTGGCTCAAGGGCAAAGCAAGGGCAGAGGTGGCTTTAATGGATGGCATGTTCCATTTGGCAGCGATGAAGACATGCCAAGGGATTCCTTGCAGCAAAGTACGTTTCCGAGCACAATTCAAAGTGTTGGTGTTTACCTTTGAAACCCTAAACGGTCTTGGTCCAGTATACCTGTAGGAGTGTCTCCACCCCCATCATTCTGCCCGGACACTGAGGTCCAGTGCTGAGGGCCTTCTGGCAGTTCCCTCACTGCGAGAAGCAAAGCTACAGGGAACCAGGCAGAGGGCCTTCTCGGTAGTGGTGCCCGCCCTGTGGAACACCCTCCCATCGGATGTCAAAGAGATAAACAACTACCTGACATTTAGAAAACATCTGGAGGCAGCCCTGTTCAGGGAAGTTTTTGATGTGTGACATTTTGATGTATTTTTAATCTTTGTTGGAAGCCACCCAGATGGGCAGGGTACAAATAAATTATTATTATTATTATTATTATTATTATTACTACTACGTCTCAGTGGAAGTTTCCTGAGAGAAGGAGCATAATGGATACAAGGCCTCAGCACACAATGAAAGGCCAGTTTGCACTCCTGTCCCTCCCCAGAGGTCCAGCCCATGATTTCCAGTAATAGGGGATGGGCCATAGCTCAGTGGTACAGCATCTGCTTCGCATGCAGAAGTTCCCATCTTCAATCCCATGAGTCCTCAAGCTGGGCCAAGAATTAACCCTGCATGAAATGCTGGAGAGCTGCTACCAGCCAGCATGGACAATACCAGGCTTGACAGTTCAATGGGCTCACTCAGGATAAAGCAGCCTCCTAGGTTTCTTTTATGCCAAGAGGGCTTAGGCTTAGGCCAACAAAAACAATCTAAAAGTTATACAAGCATCTTCATTGGTGCCGAAAATCCAATTGTGGAAGAAAGAACCCCTTACATTCGAGTTCCTGCCTTTGTTTAGCTTGGTTTCAGTGGTTCACTTAGCTGCTGTGACTCAAATTCTGTATATATAAAAAAAGCCCGTAACTTCCAAGAACAGTGGGAGTCTCATAGCTGGCACCCAACCAGGTCTAAAGTGCCAGCCATGGCCAAGACACTCTCTTTATGGCTTATTATACTCAGTTGCACATGGGTGGGCCAGACGGGGGCAGACATTTTTTCCTCTGTCTTTAATTCATTTGATATTTGTTATTATTATATAACTTTGTTTTGGGTTTCCAACATTGCTGGCATTCAGCTAAGTCACAGCAGTCCACGGATAGGCAAAAGAGTGTATTATTGGCTTGTGTGTTTCATTTCTGTTCTGGTTTTTCAACTTCTCTTTTATTATAAGAGCTCCACTGTGAGTGATAGAGATGGGACTGAACCAAATTTAAATGTTTTCAGCTGATCTTGTTATTTTAATTGCACTAATTTACTGCTTTGCTGTTTGCTGCCCGGGGATGAAGGGAGGATAGAAATTTAATCAATCAATTAATCAAGTATCCATGGGGGGGATTGGTTCAATCTGCACCGCACTGCCATTGAAACTGGCACATCGCCTGTTACAACTGCTCTGTTCCCTCTCCAAAAAAAGAGGAAGTCTTTTTTCACTGTGCAGACACTAAAATCCATTTTAAATCCACTGTGCATGCACTAAAAATCAAGGTAAATTCTCATTTTGTCCTCTTCCTTACCAAATATCAAGCCAGATTGCACGAATTTAGTAGTAGAGTTTACAATATAGCTGCTAGAGGGCCATGAACACACATCTTGACTCTAGCCACCTACTGTGCTGGTAGTCATTAATTGCAGATAATGTTTGGGGGAAATCACAGATTTCAGGACAGTCCCTGGCTGAACAAATTCTACCTAGTCTTGCGTATTTTAGTCTCCTGTCTTCCCTCCAGGACTTTGCCCAATTCCTTCCTCTCTGGTTCCTGTTTTTAACTTCCTGGATGGTCCAGCTGGTTGTATGCTTTGCTATTCTGGTTTCCTTGTTCTGATTCTTCTTTTGAATCAGCAACTGCATCCATGTTGTTTATCTAGTCCTGGAGTCTGGCTGCTTCTGAACTCATCTCAGAGTGCCCTTTGTGCTTGTTGCTCTGCTTTCATGGTTCTTGACTCTAACTTCCATTGATCAGTTTGTGCACTTCACTTAACCCCGTGGAAATCAAATCCTGCAAATACTTTTGCTGAGCTTTTACATGACACTAGCCCACATGCAACAGGGGGAATCAAGGGGCCAGCAAAGGGATGGCAGAAAGATATGCAAAACTCTATTCAACATAGGTTGAATAGCACTGCAGGGGCTGATGGGAATTATAGTCCAAAACATTCTTTGTGTGTCCCCTACATAAGAGGCCAAGAGTGTGGCAATATGAGAATGGGCCTTTTCTGTGGTGGTTCCCAGTCTGTGGAATGCTCTCCCCAGAAAGGTTTGCCTGGAGTCTTCATTAAATACAGTAGTACCTCGGGTTAAGTACTTAATTTGTTCCGGAGCTCCGTTCTTAACCTGAAACTGTTCTTAACCTGAAGCACCACTTTAACTAATGGGGCCTCCTGCTGCCGCCATGCCGCTGGAGCACAATTTCTGTTCTCATCCTGAAGCAAAGTTCTTAACCTGAAGCACTATTTCTGGGTTAGCGGAGTCTGTAACCTGAAGCGTATGTAACCCGAGGTACCATTGTATCTTCAAGTGCCAGGCAAACCCATTCCTTTTCTCCCAGGCCTTTGGCTGATTAAACAATTTATGGCCTTTTAATCTGTGGGTATGTGGGTGTTATTGTTTTGTTTGTTATTATGTTATGTATTTTTGTGTTTTTATATTGTTAACCGCCCTGGGCAGTATAGAAATTTAATCAATAAGTCAATCTGGATGGCACTAGGTTGGGGTAGACTGAGACTCCCAAATTATGGATAAAGAAGAAGAGTCTGGATTTGATATCCCACTTTGAGGAGTCTCAAAGCAGCTAACATTCTCCTTTCCCTTCCTCCCCCACAACAAACACTTTGTGAGGTGAGTGGGGCTGAGAGACTTCAAGAAGTGTGACTGGCCCAAGGTCACCCAGCAGCTGCATGTGGAGGAGCGGAGACGCGAACCCGGTTCCCCAGATTATGAGTCTACCGCTCTTAACCACTACACCACACTGGCTCTCATAAAGGTGCTAAGTATGTTGTTAACAGATATAGAGGTCTCCAGGGATAATGAAGATACCTATTAGCAAAATTATATTTTAAAGACACAGATAGTAACAAGAAGGGTGAAACATCAGTTATAGACTTCATTTATTTGCATTGTGTAACAGTTGACATTTTTTCCCATTTGAATGCAGGTAATTTGTAGATTCTTATTCATCAGTATTTTATAAAGGTGTTTGTTGGCTGGAGTTCCACTAAAAATCAAAGATAATCACCCCTTTGCCTGGTGGAGCATTTCAGGGCCAATTCATGCCTGATGCATGCCCTACAAAGATGCAGCTTTTATGGAGGAAATCAAATGCACATGTGTCTATTTCAGGTTAAGCACACTTGGATGAGAAGCCATGTTTAGCAGCAAATTCCCAAAGCATGTACATATGGCAAATACACTCATAACACATGTGACTTGATGCCGTTTCCTACATGAACATGATGTTGAGATTTCCATTCCACATTACGGAGCAGACATGGAACTGTTGCATGTCACATGTCTGTTTACATTCCAGCACAGTCTGCTGGGAACTTCTGTTGTGTATAGCTTTTGCTTTTCTCTACCTTTCTAAGAAGACAAAGAGAGAGACGACATGTTTCTTTGTCCTGACCTGATTTATGATTAATAAATCCGTATTTGCAGTATTCTTCCACAAGCCTCCCGCCTATTCTGTGTGTGCAGTTCACTCTGCTGATACAGTGTGCCCTGGTTTTGAAGCCCGGGTTGCTGATTTACATCAGACCGGAGGCCAATGGGACTTCACAGCAGGGCAGCTGGAAGGAGATTGCCCAGCTGGGGCTAGCCAGCTGGCCTTGTGGCCCTCTTCATGCCGATACGTGATACCCATGTTAAAAATTTGTCATTTGTGATGCTGCACCAGCTTCAAATTCAAGGACATACTTTTCACCCATGCCAGGCATGTTTATGTGTACATGTTTGTGTACAAAAGCCTCTTACGTACCTCATTCATATATTCTGTATGAATATCTACAATTGTATCTCAAAAGTACCAAGTTCTTTTTATTTAGAAAACAAAACAGAAAGATTAATCAATTAGAGAAACACAATTTGTAAATAACTGTTAAAAGTTATTTTTTAGTTGGTTTCTCCCTCTTCCCTTAAAATCCTATGGTGTGATGCCTAGCTACTATTTAGGTCCAGCTGTTTCACATGACAATCTAAGCTGCATGGGCATAACATTAGGAGGTCACTGTGGTCAAAAAAGGGGGGGGGGAATCACAGCCATAACCACACCCTGCTGCTATGTTCCTCCTTCTCTTTTGCTGACAGTCGAAGCTGACTGACTGCACATGACTCTCTCTCTCTTACCCCCACCCGCCATTGGTTTCTGGTGTTGCACAATCGAAACCCATTGCATGGCCCAAACCTGTCACTTGTGGTAACAGAGCCTCGGTGTGGAGGAGAAGAAAAAAAGCATGTGTTTCCCCTTTTCCTCCCATCTCTTCCTTTTCATTACATTTGGAAAGAGTGCCGAGACAGGCAGCCCTCATGTGCCGTGTCCCCACACGAGTTATACACTGTCACTGGCATAGTTAAAGGCAATTTGCTAAAATAAGAGGGCTCAAAGTGGCTTTGATTTTGCATCCTGGGCATGAGCAGCTAAGCATAAAAAGATGTGCATCTTTGGGTGCTAAAGTGAGATGATTTGTATGTTTTTAATATATTGGCAAGGAAATGAAATGTCTCTTTGGAGGGGAGAAAGGAAATCTTCTCATTGCAAAGCACACCAACAGTCGCGCTTCTGAGGAAGAAACACCAACTCACATCTCTCTGCTAACTCACTCCTAACGGGTTCATTAACTACTACTAAATAATGATGTAAAACATATGGGTGCACAGGTGGCCGCTCAACAAATACCAAATGAATTCAACATGATCACCATTAACACAATTAATACCCAGCCAGTCTACAATGATGGAACTATTAAAATTAAGCACCACTCTAGTTCCCTCGGTCCCGTGGCAATTTTACAATGGAAACCAACAAAAGGCAAGAATTAACTTTTTTTATTACAGTTATTTTATTTACTTACAGGCAGTTATTTAGTCTTTCATATGCCCTCCCTCACATGCAGCCTTGATGAGAAGGAACTGAAACAATTTCCACCAAAGAAATCAATTGAGGGATAGCAATAAAGGATTTTTAAAAAAAATGTTTGGAGTTAAGAGTCTATTTTCACCAAAAAAAGAGAGCCCCCCCAAAACAATTTCCAGCAAATTTGGGGGTTGGCTTTGAGGGCCTTCTGGATTACACATATGGCTATAAAAAGCAATGAATAGATAAGATTGTCACAACTGCTCATTTTATCATCTTCTCTACAAGTTCATTGTGCATTCTGAATAGTCCCATAAGGAGACAGGGGGTTGCTGCTTGATCAATATTGTGTTCCAGCTTTCCCATGTCTCATGTCATGGCATTCTTTCACAGCATCCCTTGATGCGTAGAAATTATCTATAGAGACAGGTCTTTTGTTGTTGTTTAGTCGTTTAGTCGTGTCCGACTCTTCGTGACCCCATGGACCAGAGCACGAATTATATACCGTAAATTCCACTGCCTCCCACAGTTTAGTCTAACTCATGCTGGTAGCTTTGAGAACACTGTCCAACCATCTCATTCTCTGTCGTCCCCTTCTCCTTGTGCCCTCAATCTTTCCCAACATCAGGGTCTTTTCCAGGGAGTCTTCTCTTCTCATGAGGTGGCCAAAGTATTGGAGCCTCAGCTTCAGGATCTGTCCTTCCAGTGAGCACTCAGGGCTGATTTCCTTAAGAATGGATAGGTTTGATCTTCTTGCAGACCATGGGACTCTCAAGAGTCTCCTCCAGCACCATAATTCAAAAGCATCAATTCTTCGGCGATCAGCCTTCTTTATGGTCCAGCTCTCACTTCCATACATCACTACTGGGAAAACCATAGCTTTAACTATACGGACCTTTGTTGGCAAGGTGATGCTTTTTAAGATGCTGCCTAGATTTCTTTAAAAGCAGAGACATCACCTTGCCAACAAAGGTCCGTATAGTTAAAGCTATGGTTTTCCCAGAGACAGGACTAGGGTTGCCCTACTTCAAAAAGTAAAAACCAGGACACCCCACAGGTTTTTGAGTTTTTTAAAGACAAACTCCAAAGTTGTTGACTAGGCAGCCTTAGTCAGGGCCCTCGGTGCAATTCAAATTAATTGTGAAACCATGGCTGTGACAGATTCTCCGAGGCAAGCAAATTGCACAGTTTACCTATGTGATACCTGAGGATGTATTTCGGTTCATCTCTCCTGAAACTCCTGTCAGTCAGCTTCATCAGATGACTCTGAGTTCCTGTATTATGAGAATGGGAAAGTGTCTCCCAATCCTATCCTGTCACCCCTTACTCACTGTTTTTTTCCTAAGTATAAAGCCCCAAATGTTATAACTGTTCCTCATCATTGTTCCAGCATCCTTATCATTTGGGGAGCCCTTTTCTGCACCTTTCCCAGCAGTGACCACACCTGTATCCCAAGTGTTTACACACTATTCCTAGTGCCTAATGGTATCATGCTATTGGCAATTACGTTTTATTTTGGCTATTTATTTTTAGAAACTCTGGCCCATCTTTTTTTAATTATATGGCACAGGAGTACCATTTTATAATTATTTAAAGCTTTTTCACAGATGCTATAATTTATGACCTTATCAGTTTGTACTGTGTTTTACATATTTTTATATAAATTATATATTATTATAATTTTGCATTAAAAGTAAAAATTTAATGTATCATTAAAGATGCTATGAATTAATTATGCACTAAAGTGAAATATTTATTTTATCTATTAGATATGTTAACAGCTTTCCAGTGTGTGTGCATCTGTATTCTTATAAATCTTTTTTTAAAAACAAAGAATACCCCACCCCATTAGTTCCCTCCTGACGCCCTTAAGCTAAGGTTCCAAGAGCTCAGTGTGTGACTGATGAAGATAATAATAATAAAACTGATGAAGTTAATAATAATAATAATAATAATAATAATAATAATAATGTCATAGAAAAAGTGAAAGCACAAGAAGGATGCAAGAGAAAAAGGAACTGATGGCAGGTCATGAAAGGATCACCACCCACTTATTCCAGTTTCCCCAATATTCCATGTATGTCATTTTCCAAATGAAAACTATGGAATTGTACATAAATAGTCTTTTACACTTAAGTTGTGCTAAACAGCATCCATATTTTTAGTCTTGCATTTATTTATTTATTTCCTTCCTGTCTTCCTTTTAAACAGCCTTTCAGTCCTATTCCCAGGACATATTCCTACTTTACCAAGAAAAAAATAAAACTTATTATTATTATTTTACAGAAGTAAAACAATCCAAAAATGCTTCTTAATCACTTCTCACTTTTTCCATTTCTCAATCGCAAACCAAATATCCATGTTACTCAGAGGCAACTCATAAATTGCTTCCTTTTTGCTTCCTTCCTTCCTTCAAATCTTGTGTAATGGGTGAAGCGCTGGGGCATGGCCTTACATTAAGATCCCAGATGACACCCCCACATACACAGAACTTGCCTGACATATTTACGTGCCCTTGGACACTTTAAGAAACTTCATCAAAGCAAAATGTGTGCCGTGATCAAGGGGCATAGCGAGGAAAGCCGTGACAATTCATATAGAAAACTCATTGCATTTTGTCTACGAGAATGTAATGTAGGCCAGCTTAAGTGAGCCCTAGGCCAACCTTAGACAACTTGGTGCCCACCAGATATTTCAGCCTAAAAGTCCCAACAACAGCTGTGCCACCTTGGATGGATGAGAGTTATACTCCAAAACATCTAGAAGGCAACAGTTTGGCAAAGGCTGCTGCAGATAATGTAAAAATTCAAAAATTGTAGGACGGAGCTTTCACACGCAAAGAAAATTCACTTCTGAGATTCAATTAGGTAATGCCAGGAATGAGACACAAGTGAAAAGAATGTGGAAAGGCGTGGAAGGGGAACAGAGGATAAATACCAGCTCAGCAGCCCAGAATGCAGCGGAGTTATCTGAAATACTTTGTGAATCAAGACATCAGTAAGTCAATGTGTGCTAACAGCCAATAAGCCAGAAAGAAACCATGGTGTACTTAGCTTTCCTCACCAGCTCTAGTTGCAGATCTGATCATTTGTCCCAGTATCAGAAGGGGTGATCAGAAGCATTAAACTATGAACATGGAAGAGAACATTCCATTCCAAGTTATTGTGATTTTAATAGACACTTATGCAAGTGATCATTACGATACCAAAGTAGACCAACAGAACCAACAGGAGCTTGCTATGACAGCTGGTGTGAGTGATTTTATCCTCAAAATGTCTGAGGGTTGAGCTGCAAGCTCAAACCATTATATGGACACTTCACCACATTTCAAACACTGCCCAGATGCACTTCAACCACCTACATTCTCAGTTGGAATCATGTAACTGGGCCCATCTTACATTGCGTCTGGTGTTGGCTGCTTCTGAAGTATCTATCGGTTCAGAGAGCGGATCAATCTTGCAAGAACCTCCGAGGCAAGAAGGGTCTTTAGGAGCATCATTGCTTTGTTGAGAAGAGGGAAGTGAGGCTATTCACTGCTGGATAAAAATAATTGACTTGAGCAAGATGTGGTCCGCTCACGTGTCAGACTGAAGAGGAAATAGAGGGTATTACTTAGGAGAGGTAAAGAATTGCAGTGTCCATGTAGAATGAATCATGTAACTTCAGAATGGCCTGTTGTGCGTGGGGAGAAACTTATCTATTCATTCAATGAATTTTTTTTTTTAAAAAAAGACACTCACATGCTTACTTTTTCCATTACTTAGGCTTATGCAGAATTTGAAGAGCAAGTTCAATCCTCTGTGTGATTGTAATGTGATTAGCCTTAGCTCTCCCTCAGCTGGTATGGCAGACATCCTATCTGGCTGCAGTGCAGAGGGAAAGAAGGGAAGCAATGCTATTCCGTCAGCTTTACTGAAAGACTAGGCGCCTTTGGTTCTTCTTTTCCCATATCTGTCACCTAGAAGTGGGCATTTCATCAGGCTACCCAAACTGTTTCCATTTCAGCTGGTCATTAAAACAGCTGTAGATTGGATCCAGATTTACAGCACCATCCAAAACTGAGAGCTGCTCAAATGAGAGAGTCTGGATTTGGCCGATCCTGGACTTTCCTGGGTATCCAGGAAAATAAGATATCCGGGTCAATGTATGTATGAGTAGCCAGGCCTGTGAAAGATTTTAAGGGCAGGGCAGAGTGGAGGCAGAGAGTTTAGTTACATACTCCTGCCTTTCATTTGTCTCTGTCTGTACATTCCTCATCAGACATGGTAAATCTGCCTCGCAGGTATGAGGCAGGGAGGGAGTAAATTGGCTGCCCCAGGTTGGAGGTGGAATAGGAGAATATTTTTTATTTGAATTCTGAGGAGGTATAATATTTTGCCTATTTCTTCTTCTTCATTGTTTAAGGGACTGGCTGGGGTTTTGTACTGAGGGGTACGGGTGGCTATGTCATTGTGAATGTTGCAGATTGAATAGCCTAAAGTAGTTTTAATAGGTTTTTTATTTCATTATTAATGTATTTGATTTCTGTTTTGTACATCATTTTGAGATTTTTTTGGGTTGCATTTGATTCCAGTCTTGTACATCACCTTGAGATACTTTTGAACACAAAGCAGTTTAAAAATTTTTACAAATAAATAAACAAAACACAAGGAAAGGCTGCCAAATTTTTACATAGTCCATGGACAGCAGCTTGATCTTCGGGAATGAGTGTATGATTATAATTATCTCCATGAAACACGTCACTTCTTCCTGCTGATCAAGTTAGTTTCAAAGGCACAGTGATGTGAGGCAGGTGAAAAGTTGGCAACCTTACATCTGCGCTGCGGAACTCTGAAGCACAGTTCATCATTGTGTCCCCATGTCCTTTAATCTTGTTCTGGTTGAGGGTTTATCAACCACAGATAAGAATTTAAACTCCTTTTTTTTCATACACACATTTCAAAGGCATTTCCTCTAAAGGGAGATGAAGCTCTTCAACCTTTTTCCTCTTTTTTAGTTAGGAAAAAAAAAGTTCTCCCCATAAAGAAAACTTGCGAGGTCTGCATCTTTTCTCCCCTAAACAACTTCCTTTATGCAATGGTAGAAACATATGTTGTACAGCTTTCTTTCATGCCAAGATGTTAACTCTTCTCTCCCCCTGCCTGCCCTGATTGGTTTGTTAGCCAGATGGTGTTAAGAGATGGTGGAACAGCAGGAACTAAGCATAGCTTGATCTGGAATGGAGCTTGCTAGTCATCAAGGAGATAGAAGGCAAAGACAAACTGGATGAAGAGGGCTAGGCAGTCCCTCTACGTATTCCCCAGGTGCAGACCTGCTGGCACAATTGGCCCTGCCCCAGAGAGGTCCTGCACAGAAGCCTGCCTACAACTGGCCATCTGCTTGGCCACTATGAGAACTTGAAGCACTGCTAGATGAGCCATTGGCCTTATCCAACAAAAGGCTTTTAAAGAGTCCTTCTGAGTTTCTTTTAGCGATTCCCTATGGTTTAGCTGCTCAGCCCATATCTACCAGGAGCCTGACATTCCATACTGTGGAATCAATTCTGTGGAACTTCATCCCAGCTCAGATGGACCCACACCCTATTGAACTTTCGGAATACATTTCTATTTTGAGGGGACATTTTTTATTGTACACTGCTTAGTATACAAATCAGTGATTAAGTGATGTATAAATAGTTAGAATAAATAAATAATGACTTCATTTAATTCATGTAGATTTGGAAAGCACTTTGGGATGCTGAGAGATGAGCGAAATGAGTCAAATTAAAGCTGCTTATGCTATTGCCGTTCTCAAGAAAGCTGGAAATAAGATCAGATGTTTCTGTACTTCCGCTGCAAGTGCCTCCGTTATGGAAGGATTTTGTTGCATGTCTTGAAAAGCTTTTGACCGTTCTTCCTTTTAGGTGTTGCCCAGACTGTCTAGTTCTGTGGCTGTATGTGCTGGGTAGTGTCTCATGCAAGGCTGTCTGCTTCCATGCACTTACCGGAAAA